AGCAACTGTTTGATTCACAGGCCTGTGCTCAGTCCACTGAGCTACGCCAACCAGGGCTTGTATGCCTCATTTTAAACATAATTTGTAAAACATTATCTTCACCCACGTGGAAGTGCGTGTCATGCGTTGAAGCACAACAGCGTGCGGCGGGTGGCTTGTGCCCTGGTTTCTTGGTTCCTCCCCGGCCAGGGTGGACCGCGTCCCTCGTCACGCTGTGTCCACAGCCTGCGCCTGCATCCCAGGCAGAGCAGGAGCCGGCGCGAACGACATTCTCACAGTGCCTGCGTCCACTGCCCACATCTCTGCCACGGGGATGGAAAAACCGGTCAGAAGATAGCCACCCGCTCTCAACATGTACACGCCAGCTCTGTTGGCACCGCTTTATGCTTTCTGTTTAATAAGCCCCACGAATACCCAGAAACGGACATGACGGCAATTTGTTCTGCTCCTCTCTTCTTTTCCAATAATAGTAGTAATGAATGACTATAATTAGTGCTGTTTGTTGAGCACTTCGGTGTGCCAGGCGCTGGTCTGAGCGCCGCTCAGATCGGTGGCGGGGGGCGGGGAGGCTGGGTAACTGGCTGCGGTGAGTCCAGAGCCAGCCCGGCGGCTCCGGCCGGTTCGGTCCCCTGAAGACTGGACCGCCTCGCCGGAGGTGCTGGCTAGAGCCGGAGGACTTGTTGGTGGGCCGCACTGGGTCCCTGCAACCTGGTAACGGCAGCGTTTAGCAGGCGGGAGTCCAGCACCCTAAAAACCACCCCCGTCACCTCTGTGTGTTTCGGTATATCTGTTGGAGGAGGGAATTTGGGGTTTTTTTTTCACTTTGAACCCCCGCTTACAGAGACGGCCCAGCCTTCCTTGACTGTGTTCCTGAGAGGAAGCGCAGTTACGCCGCAAGTTTGAGTCGGGTGTCATCACACGGGCCCTTCGCTCACACGTCACCCTGGTCAGGGGCCTGTTGTTCTTTCTGGCTGCTTGCAACATTCCGTCTTTGTCTCTGGCCCGCTGGAGTCCGGCCATGCTGTCTCGGCGTGGATTCCTCTGGGCCCACTCTCGGGGGTTCGCTCGGCTTCTCAAATCCGTCGGTTTATATTTCCCACCAAACCTGGGAAGCGTTTAAATGTCGTTTGCTGAAACACTCTTTCGGCTCTACCCTTTTCCTCCCTTCCTTCTGGAAGACGGATGGGAAACGGCCTTACCGGGGCTCTCGGCTGTTCCTGGGTCCCGAGGCAGCGGACGCGGGTGCTGAGCGCCTTCCTGCTGTCGGGTGAGGGCGCACGCAGGGCTCCCCGCTTCCGCGCCGTGTTTCCCGTCCTGGTCCCGGCGTCCCGGGCCGGTCTGCTTTCTCTCCGCGGCCGTGGGGAGTGCGCCTTTGGCTATCTTTTTTGTTACTTCCATGGTCTATCGCTGTGCTTCCGGAGAGGGGTCGGGAAACACGGGTTAAAACTATTTCAGCGAGGCCGGCAGTTCCGTGCCTGTGTTTAACTTATCCCATCTTTCCTTATAAAAATTCCTTTTGAGGTTTGGTTATCAGAATATATCTTTAAAACATACGACGTGATGGGAAAATAAGCTTATATTACCCTGTAAAATTTAGATAAATTTAAATATTTTAATATGTGGACACAAATCTTCTCTCACATGAGGTAAAACATTTGCAGCTACAGTGGTGGAGAATTTAAAACTGCTTTCTTAAGGGCTGAGTCACAATTTAAAATCCTTTACGATATGAGGTGACCTTCAGGCCTGCATGCACAAATGGGGTGATAAGTTACTATAATTTTGACATTTGTATTTTAAAAATGGGGATTGTTGCTCTGAAAATTCACTAGTAATTGAAATGATTAGTGAGCATTAAGAAGCAAATGTTTCCTGACAAAGACATACTCTTAAAAAGTCTGTATATACGTTAGAAATGTGTTATACAAAGAAATATATTGCAAAACACTTTTTTAAGTGGAAACTCTTATTTGCACACTAATATGAAAACAAACATGAAGGTTTAATTTATAGTTTCTTTTCTTTTTTCTCCTCCTATATGACAGTTAACGTACATAAAATTTACAGGCTGTTACACTTTCTGAAAAGAAAGAAATCTAAATGGTATTGAAAGCATGAATCACTTTTTCCTGAGCTCCTCCCTTTCATGGTCTGAAGCACATAACCCATCACACTCTGCATGTCATGTAGCGGAGAAACTTATTCCCAATCATGCTGCGGCTAACTGTAGAGACCAGAATACTGGCGCTGCTGGGGACATTAGCAACGTGTCATTCCGTCGTTTTTAAGTCTATTTTACACACAGAATGTTTCCTACAAATGAACTCTGTGAAAACGCACATTATAACTGAGAAAGAAAAGGGCAGCCATCTCCCAACCCTTCTCCCAGCTGCACAGCCCCAGGCACTGCCAGCCCTCTGGGGACTGGAGGTGTCTGGGGGCTCGTCCCTCCACTGAGAGACAGGCGACTCGGGCAGGGGGGAGGGGTTTCCCGAGACCCCGCCGCTGAGCGAGGCCTCCGTGGTCGGGACGCAGCGTCAGTGAGCGTGCTGCTCAGGGTCTTTCTCGGGACTTCCTTCTCGGCAGCCTCTTCTTTGGAAGCCTTGTGTCTGTCTGCAACTAAAAAAGAACAGCTGACAAATCATGGCAGCTCTGAATACTTGACATCATTCTGTGTTTAAAATGTTTTATGTCTTCACTCACGCATTTGTATATCGTAAAATAAGGAACTCGTGAGTTCTTTATGTGAAGCAGTAGGGGTAAACCAGTGAAGGCATGGAAGTCCCTGTTTCTAAGGAGCTTCCATTCTAACGGAAAAAGAAAGGTGATAAAGGCCTAACGTGTCACAGGCTGGTAAGCGCCGAGAGGGAGAACAGCACAGGGTGAGGGAGACAGACAGGGGTGCGGGGTGCTGCTTAGGCGGGGTGCTCACGCAGTGTGCGGCATGTTCTCCGATGAGGTGACAGCAGAGAGACTCTGAGGACGTGGGGAGCGAGCCCCCTGGCTCTCTGGGGAGAGCATGCGCGGGGCAGAGCAAACAGGTTCGAGTCCCCCAGGTAGCTGCGTGTGCGTGGTGAATGCAGAGCCCCTGGGGGGCCCTGAGGCTGGAGGGGTTGAAGGGGGTGAAGCCTGCTGACAACAGATGGATGGACGGCTTGAGTTGGAGTTTTTTAGGAAACATTTCTTTATACAAGTAAGAAACTATCGAGAAACTCCCAGTTAGGCCACCAGTTTAAATAAGTCAAAGCTGACGTGGCTTACTGAGTTCTCTGATTCAGAACTTCCTGATCTGCCCTGGCTGGTGTAGCTCAGTGGATTGAGCACGGGCCTGTGAATCCAACAGTCGCTGGTTCAATTCCCAGTCAGGGCACATGCGTGGGTTGCAGGCCAGGTCCCCAGTGTGGGGTACGTGAGAGACAACCACACATTGATGTTTCCCTCTCCTTTCCTTCCCCTCCCTCTAAAAGTAAAAATGAATAAAATTTTTTTTTAAAAAAAACCTTCCTGATCTGGTTATACGCTGTCTCTGCCACTTGCTCAGAATTATCTTTTGCCTCTGCCACCTGTTAGCCATGTGGCTGGGACACATGAGCCTGTTCTCTCACCTGCACAGTGAGGTAATACTCATGCTGTTCCCCCCACACAACTCTTGGAAGGGTCAGCCCGCTTACTGGAGTATACTGTTCCAGAAGCGATGACATGCACTGAGTCATTGCTCCACGGAAGAGTGACACGGGCCTCAGGGCCGGTGTGCGGGGCCTGCCTGGCCTCGGCGTGAGCAGGGCCTCCATCAAGGTCGCCGGCCGTTTCATGGCACTCACCCACTGTGTGCGAATGCAGAGTGCCTGATGCAGCTTTCCCAGGCGGCTCCCTGGGATCGGAGCCCGGATGACCACTCAAGTCGGTGTTTTGGAAACACGCGTTAATGCAGACAGTTGAGCAAATACACAGGCCACCGTTCATTCTCCCCTCCAGGTGCCTTCTGAGTCTCAGTCACCCAGGACGGGCAGTCTGTGCCGCGAGAGGCTGGGGAACCGCAGGGCCAGCGTTCGGCCTGCTCTGGGGTCGAACACTGCCTGTTCGTGTAAAAGAGCAAACTGTTGCACCCACAGGGGTGCCGGGGATGTGATTTGTTTTAGGACTGCCCCAACGTGAAGGAAATGTCATCTGGGTCTTCAGTGGGAGGAAAAAAATGAGCATTCCCTTTTTTTAAGATTTTTTAAAATTTATTTACTTTTAGAGAAAGGGGATGGGAAGAGAAAGGGGGGAGAGAAACATTGATCAGTTGCCTCTTGCATGCCCCCAACTGGGGGGACAAGGCCTGCAACCCAGGCGTGTGCCTTGACTGGGAATTGAACCGGTGGCCTTTCGGGTTGCAAGCCAACACACTGAGCCACAGCAGCCTGGGCAAAATGAGCATTCTTTATTTGACTGTGACTTGTTTTACGTTAGAAATAGAGTTGAAAATAAAGGGTAGTTTATTTTTGTTGTAGACAAATATCACATGACAAATGCATTTTAGTAAAATCTTCAACTTCTCATTAGAGAAATTTTCTAGCCAACATGAATATAGTTAGTAGTAAAAATGCTAAAATGAAAAGTAGAAATGCATTTAGAATAACTTAAAGAAAAAATCAGCTAAATTTCAGTATGTTGAACTCACCATTTCCCATAAAATGATTCAGTATTTTAGCATAACGTATATTGAATGCCAGTAACTCAGTTCTGTGGAAATCTTTTTGTTTGAATTTTTTTTTGGTAAAGAACATTAAGACGCATACTGTGATTTGTTCTAAGCCATTTTTAACTTCAAGCTTTGAGATGGGAAAGGCAGAGAGCTTTTGAAGGTTTTTGGGGGGTGGAAAGGGATGTTGTTGAACTTCCCTCAGTGCCCGGTAACACTTGCCAAAAGAGTGCTAGAAATAACCACATTTGACTTCTTCCACGAGCCATTTCCTCAGCCTTTGCCGCCAGGTTCACGCGTGCATTTGAACTTGCAGGTGGCCGCGACTGACGTGGAGAACGAAGAGAACCGCTACTCGCTCTTCACCGAGCTGCTGGAGTCCAGCCACCGGGAGGCCGAGTTTCAGCACTTGGTTCTGCTCCTGCAAGCGTGGCCGCCTATGAGTCGTGAATACGTGTAAGTGGCCACATAGAATTAGACTTCTTCGGTTTGTCGGGTTTTAGGAATTCAGTCCCTTCAAATGAGCCGGTGAAAGAAATAGATAAAAGTTGCCTTGCCCCTCAACCCCAGTTTTTTATTCAGAAATATCAGCCAGTGATTGATAATAACATCTGATTTATGATGTCAACAAAGTAGTTTTGCTCCACTTTTTTTTTTTAAAGCAGAAAATCATTTAAGTCTCTGTGAACATGGCTTACCACGCTAACTTGAGAATTCCTGTGGAATAAGTTGAAAATCCCCCTGTATTGAGCCCACGCAGTGTTACGTGCAGCGTAAATATCTTGTCCGTTCACACAGCAGCCCTGCACAGGAAGGCGATGTTATCTCACTTTGCGGGTGAGGACACTGAAGCTCAGAAGGCACACGGCTTCAGGCATCCCTGGCTCCTAGGCAGGGAGGCGGTGTCCCGGCCGACCACTGGCTGCCCTCGCTGCCCTGGGGTCTCCTCCCCGAGTGAGGCTGAGCTGGCCGCAACCACTCACCGTCGCCTGGAGTGGCCGTTCAGTTCTCGTGCCCTTGGCGAAGGACCCTTGCAAAGACAGGTCAGGGTCCCTCTGAGCACCTGTGCTACCTGTCGTGAACGGCTGCTCCTTGTTGGCAAAAAGCGGGAGCACGTGGGCCCCTATTCCGAATGCCTGCTGGCTCCAGGGCGCACCTGTGCCTCCCATGCTCGCAGGTGCGCACGCTCCCCACGCTGGTGCCCAGCTGCACCCCGCAAAGGTGAGGAAGGAGGCTTTCCCGCAAAATCCTCCGTGCAGTTTAGGACTGCTGAGAATGCCTGAAAACCCCACCTTAACCCCAGGACGAGACCGCTAGGGATTCCTGAAGAGCGCTCTTTTTGTTTTGTTTTTCTCAATTCTGGTTGACACACAGTATCATTCTGTATTAGCTCCCAGTGGCTAGACAGCCATACACTTGAGAGAGTGGTCCTCCCACTACTTCCAGCACCCACCGGGCCCCATGTGCAGTTATTAAAATACCGTGGGCTATCTTCCCCGTACTGTAATTTACACCGCTGGGGAAAGCAGCCTGTCTTGGGTCTCTGTCGTTTGCGGCGGAGACGGCACGCCGACACATTGCCGGCAAGAACAGGATCCCTGCTCCCCTGTCTGAGACTCGGCAGCAGCACTGGGTCGCGCATCGCAGAACCTCGGGTTTCCCTTGCAACAGTGTATCGGACAGCTGCCTCGGCAGAGCCGCCTGCGGGCCCAGGGGGCTCGTTAGGGCCGGGGACCCGGGCTCCACTTGCCGCGTCCACACCTCCGTCCTGGACAAGCCCAGGAGCGGACCGTGTGAACTAGACGTGGGCCCCGCCCCCCGCCCCCCGCCCCCCGCCCCGTTGGATCGGTGGCTGTGCTCCCCCTTGCCAGGAAATGGGAGAGTGCAATGTAGATTGCTTTCCGTCCTCAGAATGGATGTCTCAGAAAGGAGAAATTTTAAACCCACAGCGGGACACCTCTGGTGGATTGGTGAACTGCGGCTTTACAGTGTCTTGGACCTTTAGAACAGGGAGCGTTTCAAATCTCTCGCTCACCCATGGGAAGCGAGATTAGCTTCACCGAAAACCTTTATTGCATGTAAAACATCGCATGTGTTTGTAGACAAAAAGACCTGATTTTTTAAAGGTGTGTTTTTTGTAGTCGCACGTGAAAGGACATTTGTAAATTGCTGGCCCGTGCTTTGCAGCCCTCTGTGGAGAAGGCGTTAGAGCCAGAACACAGCAGGACCCACCCACTCGCCCCTCTTGTAGCCACGCCCCCTCCGCCTAAGACACGCCCCGAGGTTAAGTCACCGAAAGGCGTTTGTCTCTGCTCCTTCTGTGGTTCAGGTTGGGGTCTTACATGGGAAGACACCTGACAGGGTGCTTTAAAAACAGGCTCTCAGAAGTACTTTGGAGTGTGCACTTTTTTATTTCGGACAATCCAATGTATGACTTCAGCACCCCCAAAAGAACCGAGACAAAGAAAGGGAACTGGGGGGACGGAGGGGAAGCTGGAGGAGAGGAGGGCGGTGTGACCTGGAGGGATGTTGCTGGTCACGCCGTCACGTTAACCACTCCGAGGTGGGCCCCACGCCTGCGGCTGCTAGTTTAACAGTATCTACGAAAGGTTTGTAGTGTTAGTCCCTTGGGGGCAAGTGCGTGGAAAGTGGCGTAGGTTTGTACTCACGGAAAATGCGCAGTCCTTGTCCACGCATCACCGGCTGCTGAGAAGTGCCTTTTGATTGGTGTCAAAGCCTCGGTGCCCGGCGGGGCGCGCTGGGCTGGGCCAGCTGCACCCTCTGCACTGGGGCCGCCTGGGAGAGAAAGCCCCGGCGAGGGAGCGCAGACTCGGAAGGAGGAAAGCGGAGCGCTGGGCCTTAGGGTCAGGAGGCTCCCAGTCAGCCGGCCCTCCCGAGCTCAGCTTGCACTTGACAATAAGCAGCATTCCTTGTCCTCACAGATCCTTAGTTTGCGCTGAGATGCAAAGACCCGCATTGTGAGTCTCCTTGTCTTCGTTGCTCTTGACTTTTTTTCTCAGGGGCAAGGAATAAAATTCTTCAAGGAAGACCCTGTCCTTAGGTGCTCAGTGTCTGGACAACAGACAATAAATAGTGAAATTATTTTCAAATGTTATAAGTGAAATCAGCACCCTGGGGCCTTGGAATGAGTGTGCTCTTAACTTGCCCCTTGAAATGTAAGTCATGATGTTTTTGTGAAACGGAGTAGTGGCAGCCTGAGAAGGGAAACGGAAGGCAACCTTTGTATGCTTCTGTGTTCTAGAAGTAAGAGAACTGGATGGAGCTCCAGGTGTGACCTCCGTACTGCCTGTGTGTGGCTCCCTCAGCCTGTGTCGCCCCTGTCCTTAACACCCATCCTCACTGTGGTTAATCCTGCCCCGAGCCCCGACCCCACCAGCACAGGCACGGGACCAACTCAGAAAAGCTGGTACTAGGCAGTGCATACCAAGAGGGGCCTGCTAGCAGGAGTGACACTTTACAACTGCAAATGTCTTCCGTTAAGCAAAGCAGCCCTGCGGGGCGCGCGCTTAGCTGCCTTTTCACAGTGGAAAACACCGAGGCCCAGAAAGGCTGGGTGGCGCCCCCAGACCCAGCCAGCCAGGCCGAGAGCGTTTAAGTGCCTTCGGTGAGTCAGCCAAGCTGGGGAGCCAGAAGCGAGCCCGCCGGCCCTTCAGCGCCTGCCCCCGCTGCGCCCGGGCTGCGGGGTGCCCGCGGGTGCCACGGTCGGGAAGCTCGCCGTCCCCCGGAGAGGTCCTCTCTTCCACGGGACGGGCTGAAGGACCACACGACTGGATTGTGATTCCAGTTTGTCCACAGCATTCTGCTGGGAAAAGCGGGATTTTTTTTTCCTACTTCAAAATTTCTTATCGCAGTTGTTACCGCTTTGATCATTCCCAGTGCCTTGCATTTCTCTCCCTTAGGACGAGCGTGACCAAAAACCCCTGGGCGAGACTTGCAGCGGGGATGCTGACCCGGTGCACGGGGGAGCCCAGGGCCGGCCTGGGGAGCGAAGTTCTGGGACTCTGCCGCTCTCTGTACGGCACCAGTCAGAGGCTCCCGGCCGAGGTGAGTGCTTTCCCTCGGGTCCTCTCTCCCCCCTCCCCCCCACGCTGGGGCGTGCGCAGTGTGGGTCTCTGCACGTGAAGGACACTCGGCTCCCGTCACCGGGAGGGAGAGGGACACGGTCCAGTGAAGACAAGCGAAGCCAGGAGGCAGCGGCGAGGGCCTTCTCTTCGCTGCAGCTGGCTCTGAAGCCGCGTTCTGTTCACACTCCCCGTGCGGGGCCCAGCGCTCGCTCGCTGCCTCCGGGGACCCTTTTGCGTCCCACTCGGGTTTCCGGCCCACTCACTGCCAAGGGGGCCTGGCCGAGCACATGTTACCTCTGTCCGTCCGCACCGGACCGGTTGGAAACGTCACCGTAGGTGTGAGCACGCTCCTCCGGGCGGGCAGCCGGCCACTCCGATTTTCACACACTTTCTGACGTCACTTCGAGGAGATTGTACGACCTCACTAGTTACTCTCGAAACTTGCCAAAACACTCAGCCACCTGCATTTTGACCTTACTTCTCTCTCTGATCCGGTAATTGGGCTGTCACAGGGGCATTTGTTTTAGACATAGATGTGTATTTATTTGTGTTCTCTAAAATAAGCACGTATTAATTACAGCCCCCTGCTGCGGTGCATCCGACCTCAGCAATATGTCATTTGAGCCGTTCACGTGCCCCTGGTTCAAGCATTTGGATAACGGCACTACACTGATAAACTTGAAAATAAGATTGTAAATATGGTTCTCTGGGTCTTCATTTTTACTCACCGCAGGAAAATACTCTCGTTCTGAATGTACATTTAATGGATTGTTTTCTGAATGAGGGACTGGCTGAGTGTGGTTTTTTTTATTGAACTTTAAAATATCTTATTTATTTAAAGAAGTCTTTTAACCATCAGAATGACCACATTCTTCAGTGAAACGTAGGTGCCAGCTCCAGACTCCACGTCCCCCGGCTCCCGTGGTGCGCCTTTGGCTGGCGTCAGCGGCTGGTCCCCCTGTGACCGGTCCATCTAATTGTGGTTCCTCAGTGTTTAGGGCGGTCAGAGCGGAAAGCACAGTGCCATAAGCATGCACGCACTGGGGCCCTCCTCGCACCACCCCCTGGAGAGGGATTTGCCTGCCTCTCCTCACTGGGACCAGGGGCACCTGACGGGCAGGTGTGGCAGCAGGAGCCCTCGTGATGCACGAACTTGAACTGTTCCGTTCCGGACGGGGCCACAGCATGGTCTGTGACCCTGATCAGAGCACCCCCTCTGGACCTCCACCGTCTGGTCTCAGGAACAGGGGCTGCGCTGGGTGGTCCCAGCAGGGACCGCCGGCCGTCTGCTTGGCGAGGTCTCGGCCCGCGAGGAGGATGAGCCAAAGCTGTTCACTGCTTCACCCGTAGCAGCAAAGGCATCCTGCCTTTGCTAAGTCCATGGTCTCCTGGGGTGAGGAGAAAGGCACTGGGCTGAACCCCACTTTTCACTAGGTCATTATCGCTTCTCTCTCCTAATGTGATGAGACGAAAAATAATTATCATCAAATGAGTTTCGTTGCCACAGCGACTTGCTTTCATTTTCCATATGCCGTCTCAGCGTCTGTCTCTTAATCGGGCACATTCACGGGCGTTTCTCTTAGGATGGCGTGACTGGAGGGACTTCGAGAATGTGGTGCGCTGTTTCTATTGGTCACTAAATGTGCTCCGATGCGCATTAAAATCGCTACAAAGGAAGGGACATTACTACTGCAAAGTGGAAGTGTCTTATTAAGTTTACGTTACCGCATTTGAGAATTTCACAGTCTAATGCAGAGTTCCACAGCACTTCACGTCCCAGCGCTGGTGGTGGTGAGATTAGCCGTGGCTCGCTGTGTTTCAAATCCCAGCAGCCCCTTCGGTTTGCCCCACTCTCTGAGGCAGGGGGTGCATCTTCGCGTGGGCTGTGATAAGGACTCCGCCCCCACTTCCCATCCCCCCCAGGTTCCCATGTGAGAGCTGCTTTTCTCCGAGACCCCTTAGACGGCCTTGGGGGGATTGCCTGCTGTCGCTCACGGTACTTGTGATTTATGGCCGTGATGCATTTGCCGATTGAACTTACCAGAAGGATAGAGTCACTGCTGCTCACAGGGCCCACGTCCCTTCTTCTGGGCTTGCATCCGTGGCAATACATTGAGCGTCCTCGGGAGTGGGCGTTAGGCAGAGGGAGAAGCTGGCACAGAGCAGGCTCTTGGCCTTCATACGACAGGTGTCAACTTCCAGGTCCCAGCCCTTCGGGGCCGACCCGGAGGGTCCGTGATCTCGAGAGGCACAGCCTGAGCTGCACGCGCAGACCCTGTGGGCAGGGTGTGGGCGTTAGCTGCCCAGCTCTGGAGCGAGCCTCCTAAGGAGCCCCCGGCTCCTCAGTCTCATCGTGGGGGCTCTCGTTCATGACCGTGATGATCAGGAGCTTCCCTTTCGGAGTCCGAGGACACATGCACCCCTGCACATCTTGTGCCTCGCCCTCCCGTGCAGGCCTGTGGCACCTCGGGTGCTGGAGACCCCAGGGCCTGCAGGAGGGCTGTGTGAGCACAGACAGGCAGATCGTGGGCTGGGCCAGCGCTGCTTCTCTGACAACCCTCAGCCACAGGGACTGGGACCCCGCGCATGGCCATGGACCAGAGTCCGCTCTGGGCCCAGCCCCCCACCCCTCCCCGTTGTTCTGTGTCCTGACGGGTGCACAGGCCTGAGCCGCAGAAGTGCCGCGTGAGGTGGGTGTGGTGCTCTTGGCCACGCCCACCTTTCGGCAGCGCCCCAGGCCCCTCCTCCTTCGTGAGTCTCCTTAGCGAACTGCCCTCCCGCAGCACAGAGGGAAATACCTGGTGAACGCAGCGTAGTATTGAAACCCAGAGGAGGGGTTTAGCCAGTGCCCGTTAGCCTAGAGAAGTAGTCCGTCGCTCATGCGAAATGAAGTCCTTCATTCCTGGTGGGAGGAGGAGCCTGCCCAGCTGTGGCCATCGGCCCATTATATCTGCTCAGAGGCGAGTGCAGGTTATTTGAGTAACTTGTTTCCCCAAAACCCAGGTCAGCCAAGTGATAGGCTCAGTCTAAGTATCGTAAGTTGCTGAGAAGTACCCATTTACCAATTATTGATGACGTACCGAATAAGCAAAGATGAGTGTTAAGGAGAGAGGGAATTACATATCAAAGTTTTTAGGTACAGTATACACTGAGCAAACCTGGAATACCGAGAAGGAAAATGTTCTTGCCCTCAGGCGAGGCAGGCAGGCAAACGAGTAATTAGAGTAACACGAGGAGACAGCCAGACAGCGCGGGAAACGTTTACAGAACGCCGTTGGAGCGGGGGTGCCCGGCCTGGGAAGTCAGAGGCGCCTCCTGCGTGGGAGCTGGGGTTTCTGGGGCCTTCTGAAGCCGGGACGCGAAGAGCTAAGGGGTTAATCGGAGAGCGGCAGCAGAGGCGGCACCCGGGTGAAGGCGCGGAGGCCCGAGGGAGAGCCCCACCCCAGGCGGCCGCACCGCCCAGCACGGCAGCCACGGGCCCCGTATGGTCGTCAGCACTGAGACCTGAAGCAAGTGAAACTGAGTGAGGTTTGAAGGGCGGCTCCTCAGTGGCAGTAGCCACATCTCAGTCGTTCCCTACCCACGTGTGGCTCGTGGCTGCCGTGTTGGACGGCGCAGACCCAGAACACTCTGCCCTGGCTAACCCGTCTCCCGGGGACGTGCTCCCGGCGGAGCGGGCAGGTGGGCGCGTCGCTGTCACGTTGGAGGAGCAGGGATGGGTGGGGGGCAGGTTGGCGCGCGGCCCCTGGGCTCGCTTGTCATGCCTGGGAGCGTGTGCTTCATCCTCCCAGATATTTTCTGCGGGGCTGGGCGCCCTGGTGAAAAATGTGCACTTCCCTTTGGCCCAGAGTCTGGGTGGGACACTCCCCTGTGTGTCCTCGGTGCTTTACGGCCCACGCGGCACTTTCCCGAATTAGAATCCGTAGTGTCGGAAGTACGATGTTGCAGAACCCTTCCCCTGCTGATGTCCATCGTTGTCACACACATTTGTGTAGCACAGCCTTCCGGTGTGCACTGGGAAGGCCTCACTGGTTCCCAGCAGACACGCTGGGTGGGAGCTAAAAAATACCGCAGTTGCTGGAGTTCCAAAGAGACCTTTCTCCTGAGCTGCTTCGTCCTGTCCTTACTTTGTCTGCCTTACAATGATGCCAACGCACTAGGGAGACGGAGACTTGAGTGTTTCTTGTCTGGTACGCTGCGGTCGGAGGGGCAGGAGAGAGACACCGGTCCCGCGGAGGGCGGTGATCCTCAGTCCTCTCAGCAGCCCCCCTTCAGGGGACGGGGGCGCAGTCACCATCCGGCCCCCCGTCCGGAAGCTCTGCTCTTCGAGCTGCAGCCCAAGTCCCGACCCGGAGGCAGCGTCTGACTCAGCGGGGCAGGGGGCTCCCTGTCTGCTCGCCCTTCTTTCATGCTTCTGCTGCGAAGGGTTACCATTCGTTATCTCCTGTAAAAGCCTGCTCTCTGATGACAGGCTCAGTCAACATAATACAGAGCCGAGAATAAAATTCAAATACGTTTTGGTTTTTCCGGACCACAGACAGTTTTCATGAAGATGAATATCTCAAGCATCAAGCGTTCAGTTCACCTTGACATCAGGATTATAAACGGCCTTTTAGATATTTAACTTGCTGATTTCCTGTGTTGCAGTGGGTGACAACTAGGTATTTGATGGTACGAACAAAGGGTAGCAGTTTTCATTGTTTGTTATGCATCTAGCGTGTGCTGGGTCTTGCACGTTATTATTGATTAACACGTGTTCTCGCACACAGACACTGCGGAGCAGATACAATTGCCCCCACTTTATTCACGAGGGAGCGAGGGCTCTGAGAATGCAGGAAAGTGAGTGACGGCCCACATCCGTCCAGTGGGCGCTGTGCAGCCGTTGAGGGTGATGCTAGAGGGGAACCTGAGAGCTCAGGACGGTGTTGACGCCCCCCATGAAGTGCGTGCAGCAGGACCCAGACAGTCACTCAGCGTGGCCCCTCCGAGGGCTGTAGACGCGCACGCGCTCGCAGAAAGCGGCCTAGAGACACAACCCGAACAGCGCCAGGGACGCCACGGGTGTCCTGCCACTCACACGGCTGCGCTGTGGTTTCAGTGCCTAAAGGAGCTGTGCGCGCTGCTGCGGAGCCAGGCCCTGCTGCTGCCGGCCCTGAAGCTGCTCCTGGAGAGCCCGGACGCGAGTCTGCACGCGCTGGCCCTGGAGCACCTCGCCGCGGCCGACAAGGTAAGCCCAGTGGGCGAGGCCCCGCGCGGGTTCCAGGGAAGCGAGCGAGTCAGGGCTGTCGGTCTTGTGAGTGACGGCCACGACTCACCTGCGATTGCTCTGTCCCCAGCGTCCTCGGAGTGCAGGCGCTACTCCGGTTTTGTCTAAGAGGAAGACACTTGCTCATTTAACAGACATTCACTGGAGCAGAGTCTGTGTTTGGGTGCGGAGACCGTAAACCTGACGACGAGAATGTCAGAGCAGCCGGGACTGCGGGGGCCTAGTCCCGGGCACTTGAAGTTTGGGTCGGAGGAGCTCCGGGCGTGTTGGGCGGGTTTTCTGTGCCTGGGTGGGTGTGTGGTTGCCCGCTTACTAACTCACTCACGCTGGGAGCATGGCTGCGAGGCCTGGGGACCGGCACCCCCTGAGACCCCCCGTGCTCCCCCGGCAGCCTGGCCCGAGGGGATGGTGTACTGCAGTCCCGGCCCGCGCTCTCTCCCTCAAGGCTGGTTGTCTTGTTACCGTGATTAAGGAAGAAACTTCCACTTCCCTTTTTAAACTTTACAGCTCAGGATCAGATAGCTCAGGGTCGTGTTTTAATGAGTTTGCATCATGTGATTCTTACCGGAACCCTCTGTAGCTTGGAGATCATCCTTTCATTTGAAGTATTTGTGTGCGTGCATTATGTGTGTCTCCTCCATCTCTGCAGCCGTGCTTGGCGACCGCTCCCCCAGCCCAGGAGAAGCCCCTGCTCCGAGGGTCCCAGGCAGAAGTTCACTGGGGGCCTTTTCCGCGGGGGCTCTTCCCCGGCTGTTTTTAGATTGTGCTTGGTATCGAGGTGGGAAATAGAAAGCGTTTGCTTTCTTTTTTGTTTCTGTTTTTGCTCCTCACCCCGTTGATTAGATTAGCCGGAGTTCACCCCGAGCGTCACTGGCTGTTGCTGGTAGCGCCTGTTGACTTGAAGAGGAAACACCTGGCCGCGGGACCCCTGACAGGCAGGTGCTCGCGTGCGCAGCGCGAGGATCCAAGTGGAGGAACGCCCACCCGCTCGGTGAGAGCACGCGGTGTTTGGCCACTCTTCTTCGGATGCTGACAGCCCGACAGGTGCCTACACTTAAAGGGGTGACGCGTGAGGGCTGCTGCCAGCGCTTGCCCTGGCTTTCCCTCCAAGCTTTTCTGAGATCGCAGACCCCTGGTGCTGAGGAGCTTTTACAGATAGCCAACAGCCTTTTCCCCCCCGGGCCGTGTGTAGAAAGCCCTTCTTAGCGCGTTCCCATCCTGATGGCCGAGTAAGGCCCTGGGTGGTGTGGACTGCCAGGTCACCCCTCCGTCAGCCCCGAGAGCACTAACGCTCGCCTGCGGGGCCACGTCCTCTCCGGGAAGAGCATTCCTGCCAGTGGCCTGGAAGCTCCCCTCTGGCAGGCTTCCTCCCAGGCGCATTGCAGCCTCTTGACTCATTTGATCAGAGCAGGCAGGTGTGTGTTCGTGATCGTTTCACTCACTGGAAATCCCCCGCTCTGCAGCGCCAGATTCGCGGTGGCTTCGACTCGCCGTCACCCTTCCCTGTGACGCTGCTCAGTGCCTCTGCCCCGGCCCCCAGGCCGCCGTGGGCGGGCGTGCCTGTTAACAGAGTAACTCCTGGGGCTCAAAGGGGGCCTTTGGGACCTTTAGCACCTAATTAAGGACTTCTCTCTGCTTCCAGTAATAAGTACCCTCTTCTAGAAGCAACTTCTTCGTGCCAGGAAATACAGCAGACACATCCGCATGTGATCATCCTAATAGCCCTGGGAGAGGAGAGCGTTCTGGTTTCACAGACGAAAACCTGACACTCAGAGGTCGTCCGGCTAGGGAGCAGCCGGAGCTGAAATTGAAACCCTGGATCCAGCTTTCAAGTCCGCACTCAACCATCCTGCTTCTTTTAATGCAACCAGGCAAGATATATTATACTGGAAAAAGGTTATCTCTGCAGAGAAATGAAATTGCTGAAAGCGTCTTGAACCGTATAATATTAGCTCTGCAAAGGACGAGAGCAGAGTGCACTGAAGAGCTTGCCCAGGGTAGTGGGGCTTCCTTTCCGGTCCCCTGAGTCCCGGGGCCCTGGTCGAGCCCAGCCGGGGGTCCAGAGCTGCCAGCCCCGCTCCCCTCCCCACCCCCGGCGCCCTGTGCTGCTGGGGTGGTGGGCCTCGTGGGAGAGAGCCCTCCAGAATGAAGGCTCCACCTTCTCTGGAATGTGATGGTCTCAGTCCTGCCCGGTGCCGGTCACAGGGAGTTGCTTCCATGTTCCAGTCCTGCGAGTTTCTGATAAACGTGACTCTTATCCCCTTTGATCTGGCCACAAGGGCACTGGGACCTGCTGGAACCTACTGACGTTACATACGAGGACCAGAGCCTTAAAGGTTCTCAGAGAAGCCCGCTTGGATGGACACCTGTATGTGAAACCATGGACCCTTCCTGTGTCCCTCCCCCTTTAACATTCCCAGGTCTCCAGCTGACTTGTCTCCCTCGGTGAGAGCCTGTTCCCCTGTAGGGGTCCCCCGTGTCACCTTCCCCACGCTCAGAGTGGGCCTGGGCCCTCTCCTTCCTGCCCTGGTGTGCCGTGGTAACAGGGAGGCCGGGCTGGGTTGCTCAGTGTGACCAGGCGCCTGGGCGCCCGTGGTGCACAGCCGGGCCCTGTGTGCGGGAGTGGGGAGTGGGGGGAGGGTGTTTGTGGAGACGAAAAGAAAGAGCACCCGTGGTCCACGGGATTGTCTCACGGGGAGTTGACGCAGGGCACGAAGGAGTTAAGCAAAGTGTGGAACTGCCCGACGCAGGGCCCTGGCGTGGGGAATTTGGGCATGGTCATATTGGCAGAACCGGGCTTGGATTTCCAAAGATTCTCTTCCCGTTGTTAGCTAGTGAGTCAGAGGATTTGCCCCCGTTTTGGCTTCGGATGAGGTGCACTGTTCAGTCCCCGGCCAGCAGTGGGACTCATGGTGTGTCGGCTGAGAGAGGAAGTCTGGATGGCACTCAGACAAATACAGAGTGCACACAATTATCCCCGGGCGTTGTTTCTCATTCCAGGTACACACTTACGTTGCCCTTTTATTTTTCTGCCCTTATTGTTGATATACTTAATAGTTTTTATTAGCAATAGTATATACAACAATAAGACAAATTCCTTCCCTAAACAGTGCAACAGTATTAAATAATATTCCTTGAAGTAATTGAAATCAGGCCCTGCATACCTTATGCTACTAGAATTTCAGCTTACTCATTACTATAATTAACTCTTAGCTTTGTATAGATCTATAAAATCACAGATTGTAATTCGAGAAGGTTCATTACCTATTGTTAAACCAGGAGTTAAGCAGATAACATTTAATGGCTTGGAAGACAGTGGAGTTTTGTGCTTTAATAGATTTCTCTCCCAATATCTGCGAAGTTTCATTTATTCTCAAAAATTAATCACTGACACACAGAAAAATCACTGATGGGGGTGGCGAACTTTGTGATATGTGTGCACCTCTTTCTCATCTCGAAATGCCTTATTCCTGATTTGTTGGACTGGACCAACTTCGGCCATTCCTTGCACTTGAACTCTGTACGTTGCACTCAGCACTTACAAGGCACAGATCACCGCAGCCCCTCCAGGTGGCCTGCATCTCAGGTGCAGGAACTGAAGGCCAGAGGGAATGTCCTTGACAAGGTCACGCAGCAGTTGGGCGAAGCAACCGCGACTGGAAATTGGTCTCCAGCCCAAAAGCCTGTCTTCTTTTCACGAGACCACACGGCCTCTCCCTCTGGTTCAGAGTTACTTGATCAGAGGAATTACATTAGCGAATCCTCCTGGGCTTGTCTCCTAGTTATTTCAAGCATCCAACGGAGTCCAGAAATGACAGGATATATTTTTCCTCCTCAAACTCTCAAAGCACCGACGTTGCCCGTGTCAGGGATGCGTGGTTTTTCACTGACTCTACACTACACCGAAGTAATTCCTGATCGATTAAAAAGTCAGATAGTTTTCAGTGTCAGAAAATGATATATCAGATCCTCTGAGGAGTTACAGCTTCCAAACTTTAAACAATAAAAAAAGGTAAAATACAGATTCTTTCCTTACACTATAAAATATAAAACTTCTACACGAGAATAAGCAAAACAGTTGTAAGATTAGAATGTTCGCTGAAACTGCAGTGAGGGTTAGTGTTTAAGTTGCACAGAGAGGCCGCCGGCACGGGGTGGGGGGGCAGTCCCGTCGTCTCCCCATGGCCTTGGGCACCGCGCCTCCTCCAGGTGCACTGGCGGCGTGGGTCCTTCCCAAGCCCCCTCGGCTTCTGTGTTCTTCTCTCTCTCCACCCAAATGTACACAGAATTGTTGTCCAGGTGTTTCCTTTGCACGTGGCAATTGTAAAGTCGCCACCTCCATTTTCTCGAGAAGAAGCTAACCCGGAATTTCCCCTCAACCTTTCTTTCCCAGGCCACCGCCTGAGCTCCGCAGGGGGCTGGCGGTGTCTGACCCGCCGGAGGGTAGGGGACCTGTGAGTGCGCCAGGGCCGCGGGGAGACACGGCATTTCCCTCCCGTGACTGCAGCCGCTGGCTCTCCCAACCGGGACAGCAGACAGAGCTTCTGGAGGGCAGACGCCTGCCCTGTCCCTCCCTGCAGGGCATGAGTTCCGCATGTCACCTCCCAGGGCATGGGCAGCTATCCGAGAGGCTGGGCGCACCCATTGGGAGGCCGATTTTCAGGGCGTCGTGGCACTGGGGAGAACCGAACAGAAGCGGGGTGGGAGGGGCCGCCGCTGCCGGTGTTGCAGAAGCCCTGGCTCCGCCTCCACCCGGAAAAATCCCTCCCTTTCTCCGGGTCCTTCAGGCCTCCAAAGGGGGGCTGGTGAGTAAAGAGAAAGAGTCCCAGCGGGGTCCCAGCCCTGAAGACTTACTTGGGGCAACAAAGAAAGTATTACCCCGCAGTGCTGGGATTCTGCGCCTTTTATCCGTGTGTTTTATCAGGCATTGGCCCGCAGCACCCCAGCGCACACGTCTCGCGTGGAGGGAGGGTCAGGTGGAGGGACTCTTGCTTGTTAAGGGTGGACCAAAATAACACACGCGCAGCGACCCAGGTGCCGCGCTCACGTGCACCTGGAGGCGGCGGGGTGCAGTGAAGGGGTGGGAGTGAGCTTCCGAGTTTCTCGTTCATGCACGGGCTCACCCCACAGACCTCGCTGAGCCCCCAGCACGCGGCCCACGTGACCCCGGGCGTGGGGGCCGCAGGTGTGAACCAAGGCGATGCGCCCTCTGCTCCGGAGGAGCTCCCGTGCCAGAGGGCGCACGCAGTAAACAGGCGGGGCAGTGAGAGATGAGGGCGCTTTCCCGGCTCCCCAGAGGGGCTGTGTGACCGTCCACCAGTGACCTTGACCCCACCGCGCCTGCTCGTCAGCTGTCGCGTGAGACTAGGGCTGTCTGGGTGGGGCATTGTAAGGCTTGGAGAGGAAGTGCCTGGGAGCAGGGGAGTGGACGCGGTAACGGTGAGGGCAGCCCTGCGGGGCCCTAAGACCCTCGTTTCCTGCCCGTGAGGCGGAAGGGAGAGGGCGGAAACCGGGAGGAAGGAGACACGCAGAACTCACCCGCCACCCCACCAGTGTGGAGACCGAAAGCTCGTGTCCTTTTGAGCAGGAAAGCTAGTCTTTCACGCCAGTTGCTTTTGCCACCATCTAGCCTCCAAAACCAGAAACACACAAAGCGCCCAATGGAGTTCACCTGCGTGTCTTCCCGAGCCAGAGGCGGGTGCGCTGTGTGCACAGGTGCCGATGAGCGACCAAAACCAGAAACACACAAAACGCCCAATGGAGTTCACCTGCGCGTCTTCCCGAGCCAGAGGCGGGTGCGCTGTGTGCACAGGTGCCCATGAGCGACGGGTGAAGAGAAGACACCTGGGGCTGGCGGCGGAGACTGCTCGGTGCCCGGCCCCTGTTCCCTCCCAGTCTCTGTGCAGAGGCCGGGTCCTCCCTGAGGACCGAGGTGCACAGGCACGTGGCAGGCTTGCTGCTCACTCGCCCTTGCAGCCGTAACGTGGAGAGAACGGGGTGCTGCAACAGGAGGACGGTAGAACCTCGGTGCCCCCGGGAAGCCCCCGGGCCGGCGGGGAGACGGCACACAGAGTTCTGGACGCGGCGTGAAGAGGTGCGTGTCTGCGGTGTCTGCGAGTGCGGAGGAAGGAGGGGTCCGCTTGGCCCAGAGATTCAGAGATGGTGTTGCCAAGAAGACGCCCCTGGAGCCGACGTTTACGTTCGGTTTCGAAGGAGCACGAGGTTGCAGGAGGGGCAGGAGCTGTCTCGGTGGCAGTGACTCTTATTCCCAGAGCTTCCTTTGTTTCATTCCTGCGTCTGCAGACGCAGTGACCTCTCCGTGTCAGTGGCCTTCCCTCCTCGTTAAAGAGTGAGTGGACATGGAAAATGCCACATTTCCGAGGCCCCTGCAACCAAAGTTATTAAACGTGTCCTGTCACGGGCTGTTCTGTGACGCCACAGTGTAATTGTGACTTTTGATGTGCGTTGGTGTTGACTTGATTCCTTCCAACCATGTGGATAATACTAGAAAGTAGAAAATAGCGGCTGAGTATCAAAGCCATGGAAAACCGTTCACAGACTGAGCAGATAGGACCAAGGGGGAACACACACGCGGGAAGAACCTGTGAAACACTTTGAAAAGGTAAGTTTGGTGCCAAGCTTTCTAGAACCTCAAGTGAGAACGAGTTTTAAACACCCCCCGACGTCATCTGTCTGCGTCAGGGGTTGACGGACGTAGGTCTCCCTGGAGGCGAAGAAAAGGTGGTGTTGTCCTGAAACGTTTCTTTTTTTTCTTGTGGATCTGCACACGGGGGAGTGTGGGGTACGTGCTAGAATGAAATGGTCGGTGTGGTTGGGAAAGCCCGGGCTCGGGGAGGCCAAGGCTGACCCCGGTTCCGGTTCTGGCTCCGTGGCTCACTGGCCACGGCGCTAGGCGAAGCGCCTGCCCGCCCGCGTCCCGTCTGTGGCACTGACGGGTGGCAGAGCCCAGCCGGGAGGACGACTCGGTGTGGAAACGCACGGGGGGCGTTGAGCACGGCTCCTGGCGCTCGGCTTGTGGGCGCAGTGGCAGTGATTCCAGGAGGCTCCGGGAATGAGCCCGGGTCTCCTGTTCAGAGGGGACCTACACGTGCTCTTTGGAGCAGGCGCTGTTACCCCGGGCAGAGGTGTTTACGAGAACACAGCAAGAGGGCGGTGCCTAGTGAACCAGCAGTGTGTTGGCCGGGGGCGCGTCTCCTGGGGAGAAGCAAGCAGCTCAGCTCATGCCTCTCCTGTCTTGTTTCTTGAAGGTGAATGACTCCAACTGTGACCAAGAGCTTCTCTCCCTGCTCCTGGACGCCAAGCTGTTGGTGCAGTGCGTCTCCACTCCCTTCTACCCGCGCGTCATCGAGCACCTGTTGGCCAGCCCTGAGCAAGGGCGCTGGGACGCAGAGGAGCTGGCCAGACACCTGCGGGAGGCCGGCCACGAAGTCGAGGCTGGGTCACTGCTTCTGGCCGCGAGGGGGACGCACCGGGGCCTGAGGACGTTCAGCGCGGCCCTCCAGGCGAGCCAGCACTGGGTGTGAACAGGCCGGTCGTGCCCGGTGTCCCACGCCCGCTTGGTGGACGGGAGCGCCCAGAGCAGAGTGCTGGTCCCAGAAGCCGCGCCTGCACCTGGGGATTGTTCTCAGTGGTCCCAGCAAACTGCAATAAAGATGCACATTGATGATGAGCACGCTGCCGTTTGTACAACTTTATTACGGACTGAGCGCGGGTCAGCCCTTTCTCCCGTTTTCTGAACTGCCTTTTCCGAATAGAATGCAGTTAGAGCACCCGAGACCGCAGTCCACACGGTTGCATGTGGTGTGGTGTGGTGTGGGCAGGACTGTGTGAAAAGGGGGTGCGTGGGTGGGGGGGTCTGTGGGTGGAGGAAGGATGGACCTGGGTTCCAGTCTCAGCTTGGCTGTGCAACTTCGGGCAAAGCGCTCCCCCTCTCCGAACCTTACTCAGCCTGTGTCAAATGGGGGTCATACTGCTGACCTCTGGAGGCTGTGGAGCATTGTGATGCTGTGTGTCTGAGGCTCTGTCACACATAGTAGGGACCCAGGGAATGTCCCGCCTCCTCTCCCCCGCTAGTGTGACAGTTCCCGAGTCGTGATCCGAAGGCCCCAGCCAGACAATCAGCACCAGCACCCAAGGGCGGCCCACCCAGCTGGGGGGCTCCAAGCTTGCCAGCACCGCCATAGGAAGGCTGACCTGTTGGCGTGTCTGCAGAGCTGCTGCACCCAGCTGCATGGGCTGGCACGGCTAGCCTGTGCACTCCTCGTGGGTGGCGTAGACATATTGGGGTTCTCTAACTTGCACATGGCCAGTCCCAGGGAGGGTGCGCGTGGCAAACGCCCTGAGGAGAACCGGCACGAAAGGGTGTCCGGGCTGGGCCCCTGGCGCCTGACTGCAAGGCCGGTGCTCAGAAGCAGGGGTCAGGCTGCGGTTTCTGGACTCAGCTCTCCCAGAGGCTCCCGCCACACCCAAACCGCCGCATCAGCCTGGACAGGGGCGGGGCGAGAGCGGGCTCGGTGGCTAAGGGGCCGTCGGAGGGCGCTGCCGATGCACACTGGTCTTCACCGCGACCGACTGCAGAGAAACCTCGGGAGCTGGGGGGAGAAAGGGCGGCAGTGGATGCATAGGAAGGCTTAGCCTAGATAGAGATGCAATCACATAGGACAGTTCTTTGTGGTCAGGGGTGGTTTTTAATTAGCTTAAGCCCTTTGAAAAGGCTGCCTCTGGTCAGTTTCCATATGGCGCGGTCGGAGCTGGCGGGCAGAGCGTGACGCAGCCCACTGTGGGTCTTGGGCCGTGCTGGGGCAGCCGAGTCTCCACACTTACCCCCCCCCCCCCGCCACACACACACTGTCGCGTCACCTCCAGGTCTGTCAACGTCATCGTCCCTGCTGGCTTCCCCTCACGTCCACTCCCACGGGTGCAGCGGTGGAGTCCTCTGCCAGACGGAAGGGTGTTGGGAGGAGACTTTCTGACCCAGGAGCTCGCTCCCCCACCTTCCGACCAGGCGTCTTCCCAGGGACTGAGCTCCTTGCCCGAGCCTGCAGCAGCCCCCAGGGTTTGGGAATGGTTTGCACAAGCCTTTAAAAGGCTTCCAGGACAGGGGTCAGCATGGTTCTCCCGGTTAGGGAGCATGTGCCCAGACAGGCCCGCGAGGCCCAAATGCCCATTGGTTCGGAGGCCTCCAGCTGTACCCAATGGCATTAGTCAAGCCACTGCCCACCGGTAACGTAGGTGTTCTCTAACCTTACAGCTGATTTTCATCATCTCAGGGGACTGAACACATCAGGCGAGCAGAGATCGGAGGTCCGTGTTAATGGGATCCGGGGGGGAAGGGGACCCAAGGGTGAACAGTCAAGAGTGAGCATCGGGTGTCAGGTAGCCTCGACGGGCGTGAACATGAAGACCTCCAGCTAAGCTGCTGCTTTGCCCTGGCCCTCACTTGCTCGTGCATAAGTGGGGCTCACGATGCCTTTCTGGTACTCGCACTGTGGCAGCCCAGCCTGCCCAGGGCCTTGCTGGAGCCCTGCTCTGCCGAGGGGTTGCTCCCCCTGTCGGGGGTCCCAGGCTCTGCCACAGCCGCAGAAAGTCTCCCCCAAATACACACCCCAGGCTGTAAATGCATGAACTCATTCAGTCCTCCCGATAACCTTATAGGGAAACAAGGTGCCAGGGGGTAAGTAACCTGCCCAAGGACACGAGGCTGGTAAGTAATGGAGCCCCGGCGCCGTCGTAGGTAGGCTGGCTCAGAACCTGGCCCTGGCCCCCGAGCTGTGGTAACTGCTGACATCACAGCTCTGCAGGCCCCTCTGCCGAGAAGCCTGGGTGCGTCTCCTTGAGAGCATTTGAGTGACATGGGCTGTATTTTCCCTCGCTCCCTCCCTCCCATTCATGGAGCAAATACCATGGCAAAAGGGGGTGGCTGGGAAACGTCCTTTGACGCTTTCAAACTGCCTGCCGATTGAGGTCCCCGCCTCCTGCAAGGTGGGGCTCCTGCCATCTTTGCCGCGTTCCTGGGCCCTGACCCTGACCAGTCCGGACGCCCCCACGTGTCACAGAAAACCCGGGCACCGTCACGCAACCTTCCCTAGTGCTCTCGGTCTCCCGGAAGCTGCCAGTGCGTCTGAGCACCACTGACTTTCTCTGCAGGCAGTGGCTGTTACTCTGGCATCACCAGGCTCACTAAAATGAGGTCGCACACCAAGGACTTCCAACGTGTCAGTACCCTCTGCCTCTGACGGTCACCCATGGGGGCCAGCGGTGAACGGTCACGGCTGCACGTTGGAACTGCCCAAGGAGAATTAATACCGACGCCCAGTCTCCCACCCCAACCCCAATGCACTGAATCAGGATTCCTGGGGGTGGGGCTCTCACAGCCCGTGGGAGGAACCAGATTTATGTCATTAACACTCATCACCTGTTGGCCTCACCGCTGTCCACTTGCCTTGCATTCCCAAGCAAGTGAAGGGAGGTACACCTGGCACCTTTGTCCATGCCAGGCCCGCTCTGGAAAGGCCGGTGAGAAAGCAGGAGGCTGGAGCTCTTGGTGGGGAGTGACCGGTCCGTGCCAGCTGTCTTCCCAGGGCCTCGCGTGGGAGGGTGAGCAGGAGCCACTGGGAAAGGCAGGTGGCGATGAAAAGCTCCATGCGACCTGCTGCTAAATTTAGGTCTGCAGTCGAGGTGGCTCCCGGTGGGTGCGTAGCGGCAGCCCCGTGGTACGAGGAGTCCCCCTCACCTTGAAAACTGGGTCTTATCTTTTTGCAAAGAAAACTCATTATGATTAATATATCGGGAGAGCGTTCAAACGCGGCTTTGCCCTCGTCTCTGGAGAGAGGCTGCCTGTTTCTCCGGTTAACTCCAAACACCGCGGCTCCGCATTCTCGTTGAGCTCCAACAGCTGGGGATTCACTCTCTCTTCCCAATAACTCCCAACTCGTTATAAGCTGAAGACGGCTTAGAAAAGGAGAAAACAGGAAAACAGGCTGCTGGGTGCTCCAGCACGTGAGAGGAAGAGAAGCGGGCTCTCGCCGGAGCGCCTGCGTGTTGGGCTGTCTGCACGGGTGGGGGCAGATGAGCGGCTGGGGTTCCTGTGGTCCTCAGGAGTCCAGGGTCTCCTTAGACTGGAGCCTCACACTGCAAAGTGGATTTTTTTTATCCTCACCCGAGGACATGCTTATTGATTTGAGAGAGGGGGGAAGAGAGGGAGACAGAGAAGGGGGAAAGAAACATCAATCGGTTGCTCCTTGTACACACCCTGATTGGGAACCAAACCCGCAACCTAGGCACGTGCCCTAACCGGGAGTTGAACCCAAGTCTTTCCGTCTACGGGACGGGGCTCCAACCAATGGAGCCATAGCGGCCAGGGCACAACTCGGATGACGCTGGTCTTCAGCTACTGGCGTCTGAGTTTCCCTCCCCCGTGGCCGTCAGAGTTCTGGGAGGGGCTTGAAGCACAGGAAGCAGATTCAGAAGCCGCCACCACCCCCAACGGGGCCCGGTGGTGAGAGAAGCCACGAGGTGTGAGATTCAGATGGTCCCGGCAGGGCCTGCAGGTGAGCTAGCCAGGTGCGTGACCCGCCACGGAGGGGCACGTTGGAGTTTTCACGCCGTGTGGGTCACCCGTAGCCTGGCGGACGGAATTGCCGTCTTGAGAAGCAACACGCCTGTCGCCAAGGCAGCACCGTTAGAAACGGCCCTGGGCTGGAGTTCGGGACCGGGCGTGAGAGCCGGCCTGGCTAACTGGGCCTCCGGGCAGCTCCGCTTTCCCGGCTTCTGTGCGTGTGTTTCCCGCACACTCTCCGTTGTGGCGAGGCTCGGATCCGGAGGGGAGTGCCTCGGAGCCCTGAGGACGGGAGGGTGGGTCGTGGGGAAAAGCTGTGGGGAAGGCCGGTCACTAGCGTCCAGCACCTCCACAAGGGGGCCAGGGTGTGGTCTCTAAGATCCCGAGGTGACTTCCCCAGTCTCCCGCCGGCCCTCTCTTTGGCACTTAAATGTGGAGGACTCCCCCCTCCTTCACCTACCTGAGCTGGACTGAAGGCAAGAGACCAGGCCTCAGAACCCCACCTTTCTGGGGTGAGGACAGCTGCTGGGGCTGTGGGTCAGGAGGCTCCCTCCACCGGGCAGGCCGAGGCCCGAGGAGCGTGTGGCCGAGGCCCGAGCAGCATGGACCCCCAACTCAGCGCCCGCGGGTGGGCAGCTCCTTGGCAGGGTCATCAAAGCCTTTGACGTCCTGTTTGGTTTGGCGGCTGTTATGTGGCATGCAACATCTTCTGTAGGTGATCTTTTCAATAACCTTAATGTTCCTAACATGCATTTTGCGGGGCCTGGTGGGGCTCCCAGGTTAAACAGTTCTCCCCAATCACAGTCAGTGACAGGACTGAGATCTGAGCCTTGTGGTCTCGGAGGCCCCGACATCTGTTTCCAAGTCCCGAGCAGTGTGTGCGTGCCTGCGTGTGCGTGTTCTGTGACCGAGTGTAGGCATTTGCTGTTCACTCCTGTTGTGGGTGTTCCTCCTGCTCCCTGAGGGCGCCTCCCCTCCTCGCCGGGGCCCCAGTTACCCACAGGGTCCTGGGAGGGCTCCTGCCGCGGCCTCTGTCACCCGCAGCTCTCTGTCACTCTGTCTTCCAGCCCGAGGGGGTGGAGAGGCGCCGCCGGGCTCCTCCACTGTTTCCT